TACCGAACCGAAAGCACTGTATCGAACGGTTCAATATCGATACGAGTATCGTTGCACCCCTAATAAATAGTTAAAGTATTTAACATATGTACCAAAAAGCTCTTTAAGTCTACAGTCACACAGAACAGTTTTAAAAAATGTGGCATGACCAAAATGATTGCACTTAGTTGCAGTGAGTTGGGCTCTTCAAAGCAAGTTTGGTGCATAAAGACAATGATAAAACAGCAATCACTCTACTGTCAATGTTGACAATCATGTGCAATAATCTTTTAATCTGTGATCAACTGTAACAAATGGGCAAAAACTGCAAATCAATTGAAAACTAAATACAAAGAAATTCACATGAATTACTTCCATTCAGAGTCCAGCAATAAAGGCTGATCTATTATCATATAATATTTGGTTTATTTAAGAGGTAATCTCATTCATGTTAGGTGCAGGTCTGTGTTTTTGCTATTAAAGTCATCAAACAGATGATCCGTGTATATGAGGCCATAGTTTAGACTTCTTTTCTGCATTGTTGCTAAGGACAGTGGATACAGGCACACCTGACTTATAGAAAGCACTGTGACACTCACTGTTGTAGTAGGAGAACTGCAGGTAGTTGAAGTGTGAAGGCAGGAAGTCCTCAAAGGGCTTGTCTCTGCCAGCAGTTAAGGCCAGCTCCACAGCACAGTGCTGCTTACAGCTCAGCACCTGCAGATAGTGGTCTGAGGGACACAGACACATTTATACAAGTATTTATAGCACATGCAGCCTATTTTTCATATTTGCCATACAAATGTCTCCCTCGCATGCAGCTTCACATCAAATTCTCAGCTCTGTTGGAATCTTTAGTGCTCACAAGCCAAGGATATGCTGCCTCACCACTCATACTCTGGAACAGGTCTGCACTGTACTCCATGTAGTTGTATCCATCATAGTCGTAGGCTCCCTCACACAGAACTCTGCACTCCTTATCAGCTATGAAGTACTCATCTACGGCTGATTCAAAGTGTTCAGCCGCCAGGATGAAGGAGTCGTCACTATAGGAGCTCTTTCCCAGCAGAAACTGGGCCTGAAGAGAGAGGGCACATCACAGCTACTGCAACAGTCAGCTTCATCTGTTCAAGGTCAGTCAGGCAGACGAAGGAGTTTAAATCTTTCTGCTTGAATCATCGTTAGAGACTGCATCATGTGGCAACATGTAAAGAAAAATGCCCTCCTTTCTTCTCTTCTGTCTTCCCCTCCAGCTGATTATGATAGATTGCCTTCTCTCCCTGAGCCTGGTCCTGCTGGATGTCATTTCCTGTTAAAAGAGAGTTCTTCCTTCTCGTTGTCACCAAGTGCTAGTTCACAGGGGATCGTCTGACTGTTCCTTAATTTGACTTAAGTGACCAAACTAATGAAATGTCAATAAAAATAAACTGTAGATAAATTATAGACAATCAGCAGAGGATGAGGCTACAAGAACATAACAGCATTATCAAAGACGGAGTTTGCTTTCACCATGTGTGGCCTGGCCTCCAGATCTTTGAAGTCGTCCTCCTGTACTCCTGCCATCATCCTGTAGTAGTCCAGATTCTGTCTCATCTCCATGTGATCTGGGTTGGCCTGGAAAAACGTGTTGGCAGCTGCTACTGCTTTGGCCAGCTTATTGATCTGAAAGGAAGAAGAACACACA